GATGAACTGGAGCAACATGGAGAGAGTCTCAAACCCCTCCTCCGTTCCATGCCATCTACTCCCCCCCCCCGCATGCCAGCGCAGCTTGTCATCACCTCCGCCTCCTTTCCCCAAACACGCATGATCGCACGACGGCCCGTTTCCTTAACCCACACGCGCACGCACGCACGGCTGGGTTACCGGTAGTTGCCGGTATCCCACACGCACACACACCTGCCATCACGTACTCCGGCGCCGACTCGGGGCGCATGAGGAAGCCGCCCGTCAGCCCCGCCCGCTCCTTCACGTCCCGCATCTGCTCCTCCGCGTGCTCGGCCAGGGTCTGGGGGGTGGCGGGTGACGGCGGGTGGGGGCGGGTGGGGGCGGGTGATGGCGAGTCTGGGCGGGTGGCGGGTGGGGGCAGGTGATGGCGGGGGATGGCCGGTGAGCGAGGCAACCACTACGGCAGCAGCAGCACGGCAAAACAGCAGCAGTGTATCACTGCTAGCAGCTGCCTGCACACCTCCAATCACAGCGCTTCCATCCCTGCCAGCATGCCATGACGACCCCCTCCGTGGCTTCCTTCTGAAGCTGACGGCACCCCTTCCCACCACCTTCCACTACCACCACCCCGTGGCCCCGGTCAGTGCCTCCTCGCGGCTCAGATTCCCTAATCCCCCTCCCTGTGGCTTCCTATGGTACGGTATGGTCTTTGACCCACCGTATCCCCCGCTGATCCCCTCCCTTACCTTGCTCCTCTCCTCCTGCAGAGCCCGCTGTACCAGCACCCGCCACGCCGCCCGCACCGCCTCCCGCCGCTCGGGGCGAGTGGCCAGGTGGTAAAGGCGCGCGGCAGCGGGGCCGCCGGTGTGGGAGCCGGTGAGGTGGCGCTGCAGAGGGGGGCGAGGAGGGGGAGGGAGGGGCGAATTAATAGGGATGCAAACTCCGCATTTCGCTGGAATATAGGGTTGCATATAGGGAGAGCGTTACGGGAGGGAGGGTAAGCAGGTGGCCATGGAGGTGCAAAGAGTCAGAAGTTGGGCGAGGAGAGTAAAGAAAGGGAAGATAAGTGTTGAGCAGGAAGGCATGGAGAAAGGAGGAGGGATGTTGGTGGTGGCGCGGGTGGCTACCTATCGGCTTGCTGAGTAGGGTGGGGTGGAGAGCCGAGTGGTAAGAGCCGAGCAGTTCTGAGCTGCTGCTGCTTGGTATCGCACTCGATCCGGGAGGAAGCTGTAAGGGGCGCGTTGGGGGCGCTGGCGCTGCACAGGTGGGAAGCGATTCGGGAGGGGGGCTGCCGGGCGGGCTTGGTGGTGGCGGGGCTGATGGGTGTATCGCGAGAGGCTGAGGCGTGAGAGGGGTAAAAAGCAGAAAGGAAGGAGAAGAAGTAAGCCCTAAAGGAGAAGGCTTGTAACTGTTACAAGACACAATTCCAATTGAGGATAACAACACACAGCAACAGGACAACAGCAACAGCGCCACAAAATACAGCCAGCAACAGCAGCAATTGGGAAGGGACAACAGAAAGCGCCAACGACAGTCCGCTTTCCTAACGACCCATGGGTCGCACAAGAACATCTTAAAACACCTAACATCTAAAGGGAGATCCAGCATGCCGTACGGGCCCGAGACCCGGGCTGGAATCCCAGCAGACTCGATTAGCCACCGTAAAGTGCGCAAACCCAACTCAACTGAAGTTTGCAAACGGTGCAACGGCGCGCCTCCAACCACCCAACAACTAACAACCGACTACTCCCGGTAACTGCTGCCGGTATTGTAACAGCTCTCCGGCACGTATTTGGCCTGGAACCCTCCGTCATCCTTCCAATGAGCTCCAATGGGCTCCAAATTAAGTAACAAAATGGGTCTCCCTCAAGAAAGCAACAAAGAAAGCCATATTCAAGTCATAACCGGCCCGCAAGGAAAACGTCAACCCAAAAGAACGAACCGCGTCACCTGTTCCCCTCGCGCAACCACGTTCGTTCCCTCATGCCCCCAACACACCACCACCACCATCACCATCACCACCACCACTCCCCGCCCCCACCTGTTCCACCCTCTCATGCTCCTTCATGTGCCTCGGCGCCGCCAGCGTCGCATCCCCCGCCGCCACCCGCCCCGCCGTCAGCGCCGCCTTAACCGCCGCCTCCGCCGCCACACCCGCCGTACCCGGAGGTACGACGAGTACGGCATCCCCGCCGCCGCCGACGTCGCCGCCGGCGGGTGCCTCCGGCCCCAGCATGACGAGCTGCGGCGGCGGCACGTCGGAGCCGGCGGCGGTGATTGCGGCGGCGGTGGCGGCGTTGATGGCGGCTTCCGACATGGCGGCGGCGGTGCCGGCGGCGGCGGTCTCGGAGGGGCCGGCGGGGGGAGCGGCGGGGGCGCCGCCAGCCTTGACGACGGGTCGCTCCTGCAGTACGACAAAAAGTACGACACAAGAATGATCTCAGTACGACATGTAGGATGATTTAGGATCCATAAAGAAAGCCATGCACGCATGCATCGGCGTCCCTTCTGACCCCTTTGGTCCATCCCTTTGATGATCCATCCTTTTGCCAACTCCCAGCCACCCACCCCCACTACTGCCCCCTACCAGCAGCTCCTTGGGAAACGGCTCGATGAGTCCCTCCGGCGGGCTCATCCGCCCCTCCCGCGCCGCCGCCTGCGCGCCCTCCATCAGCGCCACCACCCCCGCCTTCAGCTGGGCCGCGCCGTCCACCAGCCAGGCCAGGTGGCGGGTCAGGGCGTCACGGACGGACTCGAACTCGGCCATAACGGCTGCAGGGGGAGGAGGGAGGCGGGAGGAGGGAGGGAGGATAGGACGAGAAGAGGCAGAGATTTCCGTGGGGGAATGGTAGGACGCAGAGAAAGAAAGAGGTGTTAATAGTATAGGGTAAAGGAGATGCGAGAGGATGTGCATGCATACCGGTGCCAAACTACGGTAGCAGTCGTCATATACCCCGGTCCCCTGCTCCTCCTCCCCTCCCCCTCTCACGCTCATGCTCCTGCTCCAACTTGATAAGGTGCTCGTGCGCCTGCCCGCCCACCACATCCGCTCCCGGGGCGCGGGCGGCTCCGTGCAGCGCCCTGCGAGCCGCGTCGTAGCGCATACGTAGGTGCTCTAGGCCCGTCATCCGCTCCTGAGGGGTGAAGGAGGGGGGGAGGGTGAAGGGGAGGAGAGCAGGAAGGGGTTACCGGAGGGGTACCACAGACTGCTGCAGTAAATGAGACTGACAGTTAAACATGAAGAACGCCTCAAGTCCATCCCTTCCTCCTCCTCTTCCTCCCCAGCCGCACAAAAGCACCAGTGGCCAGGGGACGCCAAACACCCCGCACCCCGCATGGTGTCTTGTTACACGGCCCAGTTGCTACAACACAGTTCTCCGGTACGACAGGGCTGGTCTCCAGTTCCCCGATTCCCCCACCCACCCACCCCCCACCTTTGCCGCCTCCCACGCCGCCAGCCATGTGGCCACCGGCTCCTCCATCCGCAGCCGCACCACATCCCCCACCGCCAGGGGCGCCCCCGCCGCCAGCCGCCGCACCAGCCCCGGCTCGTTGAGGCGCGCGAAGGCGGGGGGCAGCTCGGGAGGCCCGGCGGTGAGGGTGGCGGGGTCGGTGGGGTCGGTCTGGGAGAAGTGGCGCGGGCGGCGGGCATCGGTGAGGAAGCGACCGCAGGCGCGGAGGACGTCTGGGAGGGGGGCAGGAGGGGGGCAGGATGGAGGGAGGGAAGCAGGGAGGGGTGAGAAGAGGAGAGGACAAGTTACATTCCGATCCCCCCGTGTTGTCAGCCCTGCTATCGACATCCCTGCAATTGCATCGCGCCACCACATATCAGAACCCCACCGCACCGCACACCACGACGTCCATCGCACCCTTCAACAGCTCCAATGCTCACCCTTAACCCTAAGTGGCAATAGCCCGGTCCTGCTCCCTTATTCCCCCCCGCCCCCACCCACCATCCGTTGCATGCGCCCACTTGCCCAGCGCCCGCTCCAGCACATGCAGCGAGGCAGCGAAGGAGCCGGCCTCCGCCAGCACGCGGTGCTCCGCCTCCAGACAGGTGGGGTGGAAGTCGCGGTCACCCAGACCCAGTGCCTGGCGGGTCTGTTGAGGGGGTTGGGAGGGTGGGGGTGGGGGGACGCGGGGGTAAAGAGGTGAGGTGAAGGAGGGTTGGGAAGAGGGAGAAATGGAGATGCGTGAGGGTGGGAACCGGATGTGGTGGTGAGGAAGTAGGGGAGGTGGGGAAGAGGAATGCGGGTGGGATTTCGAAATGAGGGAGGACTTGGAAGCGAGCACGCCGATAAAGCATTGAAGGCGTAGCGCTTCGGCTAAACGTTTGATGCAAGTTGGAGTTGTTGACAGAGTTCAGGATTGGTTTAGGGTCTTGGCGCGGCAGGAAAGCTCTGAGCGACCCATGGGTCACCTCGCGCCCGCTCTCCTGCTCTGCTGCTCTCCAGGTTTCGTACGTATGTACAGGTCACAGTGATCAAGACACATACCACAACACAACTGGTTGGACCCTCAACTCGGGATAGAAGGCAGGGCTCCCGGCGGTGTCTCGCGGACGTACCGGAAGCCGAGCCACATCAAGCTGAGCTCACCACATGCCGCAAGCAACAAAATCTCTTCAAACCCGTCGCGGATGTAACTCACCCTTTCTGCAAGGACTTGCATGGTTGAACTCTGCTGCCTTGCTCCTTAGCTTTCCGTGTTCAGGGAGCTCCTCTGCTGAGTCGCCTAACTTGGGATTAGCGGCGTATCTTGACTAAAAGACACTTTGGCAAACATCTAATTACCTAGCAAGTTTTGGCTAGTTTCGTGCGAAATTAGGGGAAAAAGACAGCACCAAAGCGGTCGCATGTGGCTACCTCATGCCGTGGACAGACCATGACGCGGCAGTCGTACCCTGGACAGCAGGGCCACACCTGAGCCTCTTGGATTCAGTTTTGATTTCGGATTTCTGCTGCTTTGGTTTACGCAATCATTTCTTTGCGCTGGTCTGCGCTAGCTGTGATCCGTTGACGTGAAAACAGGCCTTGCAAGGATGTTTTCAAGCTTCTCGGAAGCCATTGCGTACACCCGCGGAACGCGGAACGCGGTAATATAAGAGAAACGAAAGCGCCGTCATATGCCATCCTCCATCACAAATTGCTGTATCATGTCTTCACATCGACAGTACAAAGCACTACCTAATATGTGCCGCGCTTGTCAAACTACGACACGTGCACCGAGCACCGCCCTCCTGTATATATATACCGCCGTTTAATCATAAATACCGCCGCATGATAAGAAACCGCATAATCCACTCATCGCTCAACACGGTCTGGCATAGTTAGCCTCAGCATCGTAGCAGCAAAAAGCCCAGTAGTATAGGAGATGATCGGCTGGACCCCGCGACAGCTCGTGCTGCCAACTGGTAAAACAGCCCTACAATCACAGCCCCCAGCCACACGACACATCCCTCAGCCGCTGCGCCCCCCCCCCCCCCACCACCAGGCCGCCATTTGATCAATCCCACTTTCGCGAAACTCAGCGCCCGTTGAAAGAAGCATAACCCTCAAGACGAAGAACCATAGAAGAAAAGGAACAACCAAAGATACATAATACACAGCATTAACGATGAGCAGGAGTGGTCCAGGGGTGTACCACTGCCGCCATGGACACCCCGCAACGGGCTCTTTGAATTACGGCATATACCGCACCGCACCGCAGACCGCACCGCACGCGAAGGATGATGTCCATGCAGGTGTGGCCCCACATCCACATGCAGTCAGGCCAATCACCACCATCACCAGCGGCGTCCGCGACATGTCACCTCCCCTCATTACCACGGCTGCAATACCATTGCTTGCCACTGCCGCTGTTACAGCTGCCCCTGCTACTGCCCCTGCCCCTGCTACTGCCCCTGCCCCTGCTGCTGCTGCTGCTGCTGCGGCGGGGCAGTGCAGCGCTTGTCCAGCCACTCCAGGATCTGGAGCTCCAACTGGGGGTGAGAGGGGTGGTGAGGAGGGGGTGAGGTGGGTTGAGGTGGGCGGTGCGGCGGAGGGAAGGCAGTCGGAAGGCTCAACACATGGCGAGGAGGTGGGAAAAGCCCCTATTCGACATGCCCGCGTTGTTGCAACAGCCCCCCTACTGCTGCCCCCTCCCGCCTCCCTCTTTCCCCCCAACCCCCCACCTGCTCGTGCCCCGGCTCCTTGAGCAGCACGTGCCACATGTTGGGCGGCGCCACGAACTGCTTGTCAGTGCTCTGGTGGGGTGAGGGGGGTGGGGGGTGGGGGGAGCAGGGTTTAGATGTCCATGTGCCAAGGGGAGGGTGCGGGCGGGTGGGGGTACGGTAGCCGATACGGTCAGCAGGCGGGGGCAAGGGATGCGTGCAATCTTGCGACCAAACAGCTTACCTGTACCCTCCAGAGCGCACCTCTCCACCCCCCTCATGCGGCCTCACCACCTCTCCAGCCCCGCCTGACCCTCTCAACCTCCTCCTTTTCCTCCCCCCCCAACCCCCCCCCCCACCTTGGCCTGCTCCACCAGCCTCCTCGACCCCTCCGGGTCCGTCATGGTGTCCCCCTCCGAGTGGAACACCAGCAGCGGGGCGCCCAGCTGCCCCTGGTGCCGGGTCAGCCACTCGGTGGCGCGCAGGTACTCCTGCGCGTTACGCACGCGGGTGGGCTCGTGGTAGCAGTTGGGGTCTGGGGGGGGAGGGGAGGGGTGGGGGGGGGTGAGCGGGAGGGTTGTGTGAGGTGGGCGGGGGGACGGAACACCGCGCTGAAGTGACGAACCGCATCGCACCCCAGCTCCCCACCGACCTCCCTCATCCTTCCAACCAAACCCACCAGCTCCCCGCTCCTCCCCCCCTCACCCTTGTCGTACGCCTCCTGCAGGTCGGGGTACAGGGTGTTGCGGCTGGCCTGCAGCAGCCGGGCGCGCGGGACCAGCCGGCTGAGCAGGGCACCCAGCGGCCTGGAGGGGGGCGGAGGGGAGGAGGGGCAGCGGGGGGGGGGAGATAGTGAGGAGGGGCAGAAAGGAAGAGAGTGAGCAGCGGGCAAGGCAAGGCAAGGCAAGGCAAGGCAAGGCCAACCCGCCTCTGCCGACCGCATGCAATGAACCCCCATAGCGGCCCACGCCTTGCATGCCGCACCATGCTCCCGCCCCTCTCCTGCCGCCGCCCCCCCCCCTCGTACCTGAGGTATGGGTTGAGTCCCTTCTTGGCCACCTTCTCTAGCGACACCATGGGGGCCAGGCAGATGACACCGGAGAACACAGCAGGCTGGGGGAGGGGGAGGCAGGGGGAGGGGGAGAGGGAGGGGGAGAGGGAGGGGGAGGCAGGCAACACATGGGGGGCAGGAAGAAGGGGGGCAGATGCAGGAGGCGGAAAGGAAGCGAGAAAGACATGGCATGGGTAAGGGCCGGACAGAGGAGGGCGTGGAGCGTGAGGCCCGACAGGGGGCGACTCAGATAGAGAGAGGGAAGGGGGGCGCAGCTCGGCAGCAAGAGCACAGCGGCCAGCCTCCTCAATATACACACACACACATGCACCCACGCAACCCCATCCCCACGCCGGTTTTTTTAACATACACTCCCCCTCCCCCCCACCTCCTTGATCGCCGCAATGAGCGCCACGCAGCCTCCCTTGGACATACCCGCCAGGAACAGGGGCAGCTGCGGCTCGAAGGAGGGCAGGCCCAGGGTCGTACAGGACCTGTGTACGGCAGGTCGTACGGCGGTGAACCGAAACCATTAGAAGGAAAACACACACGCTTAGCGTACAGCACACGTACAGTACACGTTCCGACTCGCGGCCAGTCTCCTTAACACACGGGTACAGTAACACACCACGTTGCATGCCCGCTGCTGGGCTATCGGTGGCCCCTTCTGGATTCCACCCGCCTAGTTGGCTTCTCCGCTTCCCTCCCGCTGTCACAGTCATCCCTCTGTTGCCCTCCTTCCTCCCACTGCCCCACCAACCCCCACTCCCGCCCCGCTGCAGCCCACCTGGCCACCTGCATCACGTCGCCCACGTAGTCCTGGAAGCAGTCGCAGTAGCAGCGCAGCCCGCCCGACCGGCCCGCGCCGCGGTGGTCGTTGCCGCACACCGCGAAGCCGGCGGCGTTGAGGCGCGCCACCAGCGAGCCCTCGTAGCAGCATAGCCGGCCCAGGCCCTGCGTGGGGGGCGGGGAAGAAGAAGGAGGGATTGCGGCGAGGTGGGTTGATGTGTGGTGGGTAACGAGGTGGGTTGTGTGCAGGTGGGGAGGAAGGAGAGAAGGGAAAGGGAATGGGTTGGGAGGAGCGGGGTGGGAAGGGGAAAGGAGAAAGGAAAAGAGGAAGGAGTGTAGGTAAGGGGAGGGAAGAGGGTATGGGGAAGGGGTACTTGGGGAGGTGAATGTTGGGATGGAGGCATTGCCTAGGAAAGGGAGCATCACATGGGTTGTCGGCACCTCATGGGAATAAGAACGAGGCTTGCCAGCTGAAAATGTTATGCCAGGAGGGAAAGAAGGCGGCAAAGAAGGCGGCAGCAAGAGTTCGAGGTGATAACGCTAAGCAGTTGTGAAACGACAGGTGCCTAGGAATGCGAACCTGGGATTTAAGCCAGTCGAATTGGAGGTATCCGCCATGCCCATGCACCAGCACCAGGATGCCTTTAGGTTGCGTGCCGGGGGTTGCCGGCCAATAGTACTGGCAAATGTCAATGCCCCGTTCGTTTTTATGATACCTAATTTTACCGTGAGGACCCAGATACTCTGAGTCGGGTTGGCTAGAGAGGTCATACCCTGAAGACGTCATTTCACTAAAAGGATAAGGTCGACGAACCAACGGTGCACTGCAATTGTAAGAGGAGCGTTTTAAGGCAAGCCGCAGAATAGGGGGACGGCAGCGCCTGTTGCATATGCTAGAGCGTAAAAAGGCACTTGCAGCAGTCCTTGAGTTCTTCCGGGATTTTATAGACAGTTGTGCCTGGTTGTACGGCATGTAGAATTCGCAGGGCCTATCAATGCCTGGTTACCAGCTAGGGTTTGTGACAGAACCTGCGCGCTATAGTCAGGTATTGCAAGTGTTAAAAATGGCGTCTACAGAGACTACGATAGTCATTAAATGCCCATCCCACAACCAGCATCTAACCCTCGAATTCCGCCTAGACGGAACTATAGCTGAGCTTCAAGAGTTACTGCACAAACACCATGAAGCGCGGCCATCCCCTGAAGAACAGATAGTGAGTACACGTTCTTCGCTCCTTTCTTTATTCGCTCTGAGAACTGGCCCTTGCGTTCCTTGTTCTCGCAGCTCGTGTATGCAGGCAAGGTGCTCAAGGACTCCAGCTTGCGCCTTCGGGACGTTGTCGGCAAGGTGCGAGGCAGGCTTTTGGGGATCTGCTTCTATTCCATTCTTTCCATGACCCTCTACTCCCCTGACACAATCTGCAGGAAGCTGTGGGGCCCTTTAGCGTTCACCTAGTCATAAAGCCTAAGCAGTCTGCGTCAACTTCTTCGGCCCCAACTTCCCTTCCATCCCATCCCGCCGTGGATTCCTCCGTCGCTGGGCCGTCGACTTCCTCGGCATCGACCTCCGCAGCTTCCAGCGTCCCCAGCGCACCCGCAGCTGCGCCCGCTCCTAAGCCCAGCGTGCGTGCATTGGAACCAACTACTACCCCCGCGGAAGCGAACTCAAGCAGCACCGCAGCACCTGCAGAGGAGGAGGCCGCGGCAGGAGCTGCTGCGGACAGCGGCCCCTCTGCCGCCTCTCTAGGCGACACCCCTAGTGACTTCGGAGCCGCAGCCGCCTGGAACGCATGGGGCGGGTACCCGGGAGGGTTCCTGCCGTACGGAATGTACGGTGGCAACATGGGTGCCTACGGTGCCTACCCGCTCTTCCCACAGCCTTTTGGCATGCCCACGGCCGTGGCAGCTCCTGCAGCTGCTGCTGCCCCATCGGAAGCCGCGTCCAGCTCCGCTGCAACCGCTGCTCCTGCTGTTGCAGGCACCGCCAACACGGGTGCGGCCGCAGCAGCACCCTCGCTGCCGTACTCGTACTACAACCCGGCAACAATCGGCGCTACATACCAGGCGGCGTACAACGCTGCCCTGGCGGCCCTCTCTGCTGCTTCCCAGCAGCCACAGCAGCAGGAGGGTGCCTCCGGCGGGCAGCAGCCGCAACCACAGCCGCAACAACAGGAGCAGCAGCCGCAGCAGCAGCGAGAGCAGGCAGAGGCTGCAGCTCCGCAGGGCGGCTCAGCGGCGGGAAGCAGCAGTGGAGCTGCCGGATCAGCATCAACAGCAGCAGCAGCGGGAGCGGCGGCGGATCCCGCTGCTGCGGCTGCCGCAGGTGCCCCGGGAGCTGTCCCCGCGAACACCCTGCCGCAGGTGCAGGCGCCCCAGTTCGCGTACGTGCCCATGCTGGTGCCGGCGTACGGACAGGTGGGGGCCGGGGCCATTAGGGCGTAGATGCGTTACCCCTAGTGTTGCTGCTGCTCACGTCGATGGCCATCCATTGTTGCCCAGCGCTTGAGCGGCGATGGCTCAAGGGTCCATGGCGGGGAAGCTTTGGTGACTTTAAGGCACATGCCGAGGCAACGATAGACGAGCCATGGCCCATGGGACCAATCCAGCACGGGGCGACGTGTAGCACTGTTACGTGTCTGTACTGCTACTGGGGCTGGCAACAAGCGCAATTCTTGCGGGGCCGCATGTCTTGTCAGGCGCCATTCAGTCAGAGTCAGGGCCGACTAGTCCCACGATCCGCTCCTACCGCTTTCTTACTGCTCTCGCCCACCTTCCCCTTTTTCTCCCGCTACAGCTGGGCTACCCCTTCGGCCCCCTACCCGCCACCCCCTACCCCATCCCGCCCTTGGGCGCCGCGGCCGGCCCCCTCATGGCCGCTGCCGCCGCCCTCGCCGCCACCCCTGCCGGCCAGCACCGCAACCCTCCTCCCTCCCTTCCCCCCTGGGCTGCCGCGGGTGGCCCCGGCTGGCCTCCGTCGCACCCCGCAGCCAACCCGCTGACGCTGGCCTCCGACCTGCACGCTGCCTTGAACGCTGCGCTGAACCCTGGCCTGGCGGGTCTGGCCAGGACGGGTCTGGCTGGGCCGGGTCGCATTGTGGAGCTGGAGGCGCTGCTGGAGGCACTGGAGGCGGGCGGTGCGGCGGGGGCGCTGAGGCGGCAGGCCGGGCGGACGCAGGAGGGCGGGGCGCAGGGCGGCGCGAGAGAGGGCGCGGTGGGAGAGGGAGCAGCAGGTGTGGGGCAGAGCGGGTGATGGAGGTGTGGTGGAGCGCTGGTCAGGCGTTGCGAGGGTGGTTAATGATGGATAGGGTGCACTGCGCAGGTTCCGGGAGCTCGTTTCCCTGCAACCCAAACCGCACTGCCGACGACCCTAGTCTTTCTGTGGACGTCCCATATGCGCTGCAACGCCTACAAGCCTCGGTTCCACGATCCCTCATATGGGTCGTAAACCAGTTAACAGCATTGCTTCTGGGCCTGCTGCCTCCCTTTCTCACACCTATCCTCACGGCTCAGTTCATCCAACCCCTTCCCTTCCCTTTCCCCCGTCAGGCGGCCTGCGTCAGCGGCGCGACCGCTTGCTGCTGGCGATGGCCGCGGACCGCAACCGCGGGGCCCCCGCGCTAGTGGTGGCGGGGCCGGCTGCCAGGCCGGGTGTGGGGGGGGTGCGGCGGCCGCGTGTGTTCACGCTGCGCATCAACACGCGTATGCTGATGCAGGCGCTGGTGTTTGCAGTGGTGCTCTACCAGGTGGGGCGGGGGACGCGGGGAAGGGCGGAAGGTGGGGGGCCGGGGGGCATGGAAAGAGAAGGCCTCGGAAAGCCACTGTGTCACCGCAAGACGTGAAGACCGCAAGACCTTGCATGTTAACCGCAAATCCCTGTTCAAGCCCAACCACCACCCCCTTCCCACTGCCCCCCTGCCATCCACTGCCATCCACTGCCCGTGCAGCACTTCACGTGGCAGCGCTTCGTGACGCTGCTGGTCATCGGTGCGGTGCTGTTTGTCACCTCCACTTGGGCGCCCTTCCGCCGCCTCATGCGGGGGATGCACGCGGGCCCACCGCAGCAGCAGCCGCAGCCGGCAGCAGCTGCGGCGGCGGCGGATGGCCAGGCGGCTGCTGTTGGAGAGGCAGGCAACGCAGGGCAGCCACCGCAGCAGCAACCACAGCCGCAGGCACAGCGCAGGTTCGTGGGGTTTGTAAGGGGGCGCGGGGAGGAGAACTTTCAAGTATGGGTTGGAAAGCGGAAGAGCGTGCGATACTCCCAAAGCGGCCCGCTGTGGTGCTTTACTCTAACGCTTTGCTGGTGGCTGACGAGGCATGCTTTCCACTGTGCAGGGGCATCTTGTACGAGATCCTGGTTTTCGTGGTGGGGTTCATCACCTCACTGCTGCCCGCTTGGAACTTCAACCCGGAGGATGCCGCTGCTTTCGCGGCTGCCCAGGAAATGCTTGCCGCGGAGGAGCGTATGCGGCAACAGCAGCCACCTCAAGCGCCAGCAGCAGCAGACGGGGGTGCCGGCGTGGATGGTGGGGTGGCACAGGAGGAAGCACAACCAGCGGTCGCTGCGGCGGCCGACCAGTAGCTCGAAGTGTTGCATACCGCGTACCGCCTGGCTTGGGGAGGGCTTAGGACCGGTTGATGGTTTGTGTTGATGGAGTTTCATACTCATGCGTATATAACGGGTTTTCACGATGAAATTAAACGATGTGTGTTCAGCGGAAATGTAGGTAGGAGTTCGGCATGGCAGCGTGTTGTTTCGCGAGGTTGCATACAAGTTTGGCTATGTTGCCATATGAGGAGAATTTACATGTTCTTAGGTCGCTTTATGGCTGGATAGATTCAAGGATTCCGCATCTCGAGTTCGGCAAATTGTATGCCCTGACTGAAGCAACGTTTTATTTGTGCCGCTAGGGGCCTAAGCTTACTGTGATGTAAGACAAGTTGCAAATCAAGTGTTAAGCCCAACTGTGTTTCCATGGCCGTTCCCTGATGGCTTCCCTGGAGGCTTCCCCAAGAACTCATACTGGGGACCCAGCACACAATCCTTCTCTTTCACTTGTTCCTTTAGGAGTGTTTTATACCCAGCGTCAAGATGGGGTGAGATTAGCTTATTTACGCAAAGGCCAGAGCCATGAATGCGATGAATGACTCCTCTTTTGCACCGCCTGCAGTAAGACCCGTGGTATGGGAGCTGGGCGCAAGCTCAGGGTGCACCGCCGTGAGGAGCGCTGGGCTGATAAGGACTACAACAAGAGCCACCTGGGCTCTGAGTGGAAGAAGCCTTTCGCCGGCGCCTCGCACGCCAAGGGCATCGTGCTGGAGAAGATGTGAGATAACTGCATGCAGTCGGACTTGTTTTCGTGCTGGGGCTTCTTTCTAACCCGCCTGTCCTCTATTGCAGTGGCATTGAGGCGAAGCAGCCCAACTCTGCCATTCGCAAGTGCGCTCGTGTGCAGCTGATCAAGAACGGCAAGAAGATTGCGGCTTTCGTCCCCATGGATGGTTGCCTTAACTTCATCGAGGAGAACGTAGGTGGCGGCCGGCGGCGTGTTACATGTGCATACGGTCCAGCCTATTGGGTTCTAGCTTCTATCCCTGGCGTGCTGCAAAAACAGAAATACAATTCTTATTGTATGCTGCTGTCGGGCCTAGGCCGCCTGCAGTTGGCGCCAGCCGACAGCAGCTTTGGAGTATTGGAGCAAAGCGGCCTTTTCTGCCAGTCAGTTGTGCAGTGCAGCCTACATTTCATTTGTTAGCCTTCTAATAGCAGAACAGTTGTGCAGCTGGGCAGATGTCAAACACTCCATCATTCACCATTGGACAATACCGTCGCATAGGCTTATCCTCCGGGAGTGTGATACCTATAACTTCTCCATGGCAGCAGCGGCGCACTTGCAGATGATTGACTGTGGACGTTAGCGGAGCCGCATACCCTAGGGATCCCATCCCATGTGCTTGTCCTCAGGCACTAATTAATCGCATGCATGTCCAATGCTATGCCGCAGGATGAGGTTCTCATTGCCGGTTTCGGTCGCCGCGGCCACGCCGTCGGTGATATTCCCGGTGTCCGCTTCAAGGTAGGAGGGGTGTACATCTAAACAACGGAGGGGAGAAGCAATGGTGCGCCTTAGCTAAGGCATTAGGCTGTACCAGTTTGGGGCTTGGCGGGATGGAGCGACGTCGGGACACGAGGGGCATGTGGATGGTGGTGTCGCACACGCTATCCTTACCCAACAGCGTGCGCGTGTGGGGTCCTAGAGCGTCATTACGACTAGACGATTGCGTTAGGTGGGGCCAGCCGTGTGCATTCATGCTGTGGCCATGTTGACATTGGCTTGTCAGCTGCGCCGTAGCATTGGTGTCAGTTATGGTCCTGAACGGGACTGTACCAGTGGTGGCAAACGGCTAGAGGTGTTGCTAGGGGCTACGTGCGGGGTCCTATGTGAGCTCGGGATGAATCGAGAGGTCACCGTGGAAGTTCGTCGTAAGCATGGCACTGTTATGTGCATGGATGCTACTTCGGCGTAGGGCTGATCTGACCCGTTGTAGGGGTCCCCAATCAGTACGTTCCTTGTTAGCTCACAGCACCGCCTTCCAACTATGTTCCCGCGCCGCTGCCCCCGTCGTCCCTGTGCCCCCGCAGGTCGTCAAGGTGTCGGGTGTGTCCCTGCTGGCGCTCTTCAAGGGCAAGAAGGAGAAGCCCCGGTCGTAATCGACCAGGCTGCATGTCGGAGCAGCAGCTGCGCCCACGGTTGCTGTAACGCTTGGTACACGTGAAAGCCGCGACCCTGCTTCCGCTCCCTGAACGCACGCACTGCACACCGGTGACTGGACAGCAGCAGTTATTCGAATTCCTGGCAGCAGTATTGTGCAGCTTCGAGGCGGCCGCGTACGTTCGTAGCAATGGAGCAGTTTGCTTGCATGGGGGATTGGCTTGGTGTTTACCACCGAAGGGGCTCGCGGCTGCCTGGACGACCAGTTTATGAAGTGCGCTCGTCTAGGTGGGGTGTGAAGATGCCGCATGAGGCATGGCGTACTCAGTACGGTTACAAGGGGTCACCAACACCCTGCAGCGTATTTCGTGATCAGTTCTGTCGCCGCTAACAGCGCGCCTATGGAGCAGGCTTGGCTCCAAACCAGGATTCTGCGCTAGACCGTGCGTTGTCGACAGTCGCCGTTCAGCCCAACACCCGGCAGCTAGTTATTCCGGCTAGGCCGTGCTATGTACACACTAATCCACACCCCCTCCCACTACAGCCCTCAGCTCGACAGGCAAGGCTCCAGGAATCCAAAGAGCCAGCATCCGTCGAATGACATGCATTAACAACATCAGTGATAGGTCCCATCACAGAGGCCGCCTGGGGTCACGATACGGCGCCCTGTCTTACGGTGACAGGTGTGCAGCCATGGGGTGGGCCTCCTTGGCGGGCTCCGCAGCCTCCTCGCCGCCCTCCTCGTCGGGAGCCTGCAGGCAACGTTGCGGGTGCAGCACAAAGAGGTTAGTGTGGTCGGTGCAGGATGGATGGGACCGAACACCGACGGCAAATACTTGGGAAACTCAATATGTCCATAGTTTAACGCCCATTCTTTCTGGTTGTAATCCCGTGCTCGTCAACACATCTCCTTCGAGAACGGTTTAGCTTCAGCCCTAGCAGCGCTACCGCAGCTTTGCTTTCCCTTCTGCAACCCACCGGAGAGCGGACACCCATCTGCACACCTCTAGCCGCTCTCTTCCCCAAGCCTCTTCTCCAGTTTTGCAAATTCCTTAAGCCCCTCCTCTTCCGACTCGTCCGGTGGGGCCTGCACGCACACCACACAAACGCGCGCTTTAGCTTTTCGAAAGAGGATTCCTAAAGACGCCCGCTAAGGCGAATCCTAACAAAGATTGGTTTGGCACAACTTTGCCGTACGGTAGTACCAAACCCATACAGCAACTGCACCCGTAAAAGTTACACATCCCGTCCACATCATGTCCCCCTCCTACGGACTGCCTTTTTCCCCTTCCCCTCAAAAAGTGCCCCTCATGCGCTGGTTTACCCAGCAACCACAACCAACCACCCGCATCACTTAAATGCTTTCCAAACCCAAAACAAAATCAGACTCCAGGCGCGCTTCCCACCCCAAGCGCAAAGCCCACCCAAGCCGCTGACCGCCTGCCCACCCACCTCCACGACTCCCTTGACCTCCGGGATGTAGTGCATAAGCATGTTTTCAATGCCGTGCTTGAGAGTTACGGTGGAGGAGGGGCATGTGCTGCATGCGCCCTGAGGTGGGGGGGCGGGAGGGGAGGGAAATGGGGTAAGCATTGCGGACATGGGTGGGCTTGGACACAAAAACTAGCCGTATACACCGACCGGGGTCGGCTCCTCGGCTGCTCCTGCGACGCTCCCCTTCTCCTCCCCCACCTCCCTCCTCACACAGTCAATTAGTTGTTTCCTCTTTCCACCCGCTACCGCAGCTCACCACCAGTTTGACCGTCACGATGCCGCTGTCCTCGTCGAAGCCCTTGAACACGATGTCGCCCCCGTCGTCCTGCACAGCGGGCCGGATGCGCGTCTCCAGCAGCTCCTTGATCATGGCAACAACCTGCGAGATGTGGGGAAAAGAAGGATATCCAACATATTGTGCGACGACGGCAAGCGCGGTTTGGGGAAGGGGAGGGGAGGAGCAGCGTGTTGTTATGGTACTGTAAACCGTTGTTACAAGCCAATCCAAGTTGCACATGTTGCGGACTGCTCGAAGGAGCCAGAATTGAGGGGAAGGGACCAGGCTTCCAGACCGTACCGAACAGCCCCATGGGTACGACAGCGGCACCCCCGCCCCGCCCCCACCTCGACACGTCACGTGTGTAACCCTCCCCCCCGGCCCCCACCTCGCTGTCATCCGGGTGGATGGCGGTGTCGGTCGCCGCCAGCGCCTCCGCATCCGAGATGAGCGGCTCGCCGCTGCTGAAGTGGTCCATGATGGCGGCGAAGATGTCGGGCTTGAGCACCGGCCAGCCCAGCTCCGACCGCTTGCTGACGGTGATGAAGTCGGAGCCGAAGAAGACGGCGGTCACTCCGTCCACCGCGAAGAGCTTCTTGGCCAGCGGGGAGCGCATGCCCTCGCGTGCGGAGGAGAATTCACAGGTGCCGGACTGGGAGGGGGGAAAATAGACGAGGTAGGAAGGAGAGGAGGGAAGGGAGGAGGGGTTGAGGCATGGACAGGAAAGGGGCAGAAAGTGTGCGTGTGTTTTGGGGAGTCGGGAGGGGGAAAGAGAAGGATATGGGATCGCGGGAGCGTGGGAGCGAAAGGGAGAAGTTGTAGGAGGTTTCGCTTACCTCCATCACCTTCCTGCCGGGCACAAACATGAGACTGTTTGGGTTGGGCGTAGGCTGTGTTTGGATAAACATGCCCCGAGTCTGGCCTGCTGAGGCTTGCCAGGGCGTTATCCGGCGGGTAGTCAAGTCCATTCCCATGCCCGAAGTTGATGCGACACCGCTACGACGGGCAGCCGCGGAGTTGGGTGCTGCAGCGGCATAGTGGATAGCAGCATATTGTGGTACTGACAAAGCGGCAACCTGCGCATAGAGAACAGGGCCAGGGCATAGGACTAATGCCAACGTTGTCTTCCGCTTCGGCGATGACGACGCGCTCCAGCCAGCTCTGAGGACATCGCATGCGTAGATAAGAAACAGCAGCGAATATTAATCCACCGTACCTCGCTGCCCATCCCGGCTCGTTGCACGGCGCCGAGCGCTCCCGCTGCCCTAAGGACGCGAGCAGCTGATCTAGTCATCCTGTGATAAGTGGAGAACTGGCAAAATCGAGTACGTAGGTTCACAGAGGCTTTGAGGTCGGTCACGTCGGAACGCAACCGTAGATGTTCTCCTTCCACTGGCATGCGGCGACTCTATATTTCTGTATTGAAGCTATTCGGTGCTAAGTTTTGCCAGGGCGCTTCGACCGTGGGATAAGCCGTGAGTAAGTTCCTGCCGTACGAATTTGTAACGCTGTCATTAAGCCGAATCCCAGCTCACGGTCGTCACGGAACTCCTGCCCGCGAGGTAAAAAGCCTTGAACTAAATCCGCTGTCCTTCATATGCACTCGCTGTCCTTTCCATGCAAAGCAGCACGGTCCGAGTACGGGCCCGAGTACGCCCCAGGCTCCACACCTCAACTACCCAACGGCTGGCCATGACCAAGCTGCGGCACCTGCTACGCTTGGGTGACTCTCTCCCCAACCATACCCTTAGCAAGCATGCTGTTGTACGGCAAACTGTAGGAATCATGAAGCACGCAAAACAGACCATGCTAGCAATCCTTGCAGCTTGCTAGTCCAAGTACACCGTAACACCCACGCTGGTTGCACGACAAACCGCCCGGCAGCTGTTCAGGCGCGCCTCAGCCGCGACAGCGCAACAGCAGGCCGGCAGTCAAAGCTCCCATCATACGGAGTCATAAAAACATCACTCTCATCCCTCCTCTCCCCTTCCCCGCCCTCCCAAACGCCCTCTCAACGTATCCTACTCCTCGCATACCGGTACTCCTTTCATGACCCCAGCCCACCCAAGAGCCCCCAGGGCGACCCCGCACCCACATTCTCATCATCAAACACACGCACTCTCTCCCCCTCGCACGCACTCCTTTGTAACCCTTCCCCTTCTCTCAGAACCACTCCACTCTCGTTCGCAGCTCCCCCTGCCTCAGCCGCTCAATGGTAGGCAGGTACTTCCCCAGACTGCGACGAATCACATCAACCTAGGCAGGGGGACGGTGGGGTTAAGAAGGAGCATCCCGGGGAGTAGGCGGGGTATTATACGGCAATTAAGAAAAAAATGTGTGTATGGGATCGAACTCGCAACATGCCCCCACACCCGTCCTTGCTTCTTTCCCCCCACCTCACCTCCCGCCAGTGCTGCTGCAACATGGCCTCCCGCACCGCCGACTCCGCGTGGCTCTCCTGCAGCGACTGAGCCCTGCAGCAGCAGCAGCAGCAGCAGCAGCACTCGACTCCGACTCGCGGCCAGTTTTCTTAACACAAACGCATGGCCCAACTTCACACAGCAGGGGTGTAAATTTGTACGGCAGTAGGCAATCCGAAAGCCTAGTAAGATCTAAACACACACTGCGCTACAGCGTGAATACTCATCTTTACCCCCGTGCCCTTTCCCTAGGAGGCCGGTCAGCCACCTCCTTACCCTCCCTTCGTTCCCTTCTCCTTTCCCTTCCCCTCCACCTTCACCTCCGCCTCCCCAAACGCATTGTGAATCCTTCTTCCCCCCACCCCCTCCCCCCCTCACCACTCCTCCCCGTACACCAGCTTGCACACGTGTTGCTTCACGGCGGGGTGCATCAGGAAGCGTACGGCGGCCGCGGGGTCCTGCTCGGGCGGGGCAGCGGGCTCCAGGGAGGCCAGCGAGGGGGCGGAACGCACGAAGGAGCGCCTGCGGGGGGGGGGGGATGTGCGTGTTTGTATTAAGAAAACTGGCCGCAAGGAGTCAGCTGAGGAGAAAGAACGAGAGGTCGAGTCGTTTCGTCTGGAGCGAGGGAAGAGCCAGAGGGTTGAAAAGCGCAACTTCCAAAACAGCCCTCCAACGCAGCAAGAACGCAGCCCCCCAGCACCCTTTCCTCCTCCCCGCCCACCCCCACCCCCCGCCCCCACCTGCGGCTCTGCGACATCCAGATGGTGAAGCAGCAGCGCGGTGCAGTCGCCGGCATCACGCGGTGCGGCATGCGGCAGGAGGAGAAGAGCACCAGCCGGTCCTCCAGGGGCGGCAGGTCCAGAGGCGGGCCGGAGGGGAAGGGGTAGAGCCGCAGCTGCCCGCCCTGCCCCTCGTGCCAGCTGGGGACGCGGGAGGGAAGAGGAGGGGGGGGAGGGGGGAGGAGGCAGGAGGGAGGATGCGGGAGGAGGGGAAGAGGGATTAAGTTGACGGTGTTTGGGAGCCAGCGTGAGAAGAAGGAGAGGAAAGGGTTTTTGTGCGAGAAGGTGAGCATGCGCCGTCGGCAGATGTTCCATTAAGCCGCGATGATGCGTATTTTAGAGCGGGCGAAACACCCCATGCTTCCCATGTTCCCCAATCCACCTCCACCGCCCCCGTTCTCTCATTGCCCCCCTTCCTGTCGCCCCCCCCTTCCCGGTTTGCTCACTCGGGGTTGAGGTAGAAGATGGCTGTCACCCGCCGCCCGTCCAGCTGCTCGTCGCTGTCCAGGTGGACGGGGAAGCAGCCGCCGCCGCCCGCATTGTACTGCAGCTTGATGGCCTGGGGGGGGTGAGGGAGGGGGGGCAGGGGCGGGGGCGGGGGCAGGGGCGGGGGTAGGGGCGGGCGGGGCCAGGGTGTGAGGAAGGGAGGGAGGGCGATGCACGCATGGACAGGTGTGTATCACACGGGGTGCAGACCGTGTGCGTGCAACCGTGGCAGGAGAAGAAAAAACGGACCAACTAAAACAACGGACTAACTCCCCGTATGCAGGTTTACGGGTGCCACATGAGCACATGAGCAAGTGCCGTACCGGCATATGCGAGCGGACACAGCAGAAGCCTGCATGCCATATGCCTCATGCGCGAGGGGGGCGCAAGGGGAGCATGTGTGCGACGCGCGCCACCGCCGTACCTGCGAGTCTAGTGTGACTTGCGGCATGAAGAGGGAGAGCAGTGTGGCCATGGTGCGGTCGGAGTTGAGGGAGGAGCAGAGGGGCGCGGCGGACTGCGGGAGGGGCAGGGGCAGGAGGGGCAGGAGGGGCAGGAGGTAAGGGGCAGCGTATGAAAACTGGCCGCGAGTAGGCACGTGTGTTAAGGGAACTGGCCGCGAGTAGGAACGTACTGAATGTCAGGTGCTAAGCACAGCAGCCAGCAGCCCCAGATAGATAGACAGCTCCTGCGGGGCGCACCTGGATGTTGGCATCCAGCGTCAGCTCCGCCTCGTGCACATGCGACTTCTCCACCAGCGATGTGGCGTTGTCCTTCACCTGCGTTGGCAAGGCATTGGGTGTACACGCGAGGAGGTGGGTTACACGCAGGGCGGTTGTGTACGGCATGCGGTTGTGGTTATAGCGGGCAAGGAGGCTGCCGCAGCGTAGGGGCTCAGCAGCTCCGTGAAAGGTGCATGCTGCTGCTGCAGCCCGCAGCTGGCCCAGCAGCCCAGCGGCTGGCGACGTAGCAAGCCATTCCTTTCACACAGCGCTTTCCTGCTGTGCCTGGATTTTGGCACCAAGCTGTGTCGGGTCACATGGGGTTGCAGCAATGCTGGGCAGCCCTCACCAGATGTGTGCAGTTTTTGCGCATGAGGCCACGCTCGTACAATTCGACCACCTCAGCTCGCAGCTGGCGAGCCACATCTTTTCCAAAGATACCGTCGACCACTGCATATCCCTGTGGCGTGTGGTGATAACACGCGTAGGGGAAAGCCAGTGTGGGAACTTTGTTCAGCGGCAAACATGGTGTCGGATGGACAAGCAAGGATTCTAAGGCGACGCCAGAGCTAATGCCGTGTAAGAAAATAACGTACATGATCACTTAGGTGTTGTGCAACATCAGGAGTAATGGCTCGCTCGAACGCGGCTGTCACATCCGGTACATCAGCTCCTTTCCTTGCCGCTGCGGTGAACCCTCGGTGTGCGAGAGTATATAGAAGGCCGTTCGACTCTCTTACTTGTGAAAATGCTGCACGTAATGCCATCATTTTTTTCGGGCACTCCTTGTCTACTGCGTCATCGGTTTACGACATGACTTAGATGAATCTAAACAGTAATTTGGGAACATATACACGTATCTGTATCTAAAACGCATCTCTGGCTACTTACTCCGGGAGGTGGTACGAGGCAGTCTTTGTCATGCAGCTGGACGAACGTCCAAAAAGTTGATCCAAACGCCCGCTGTCCAGCCTGACTTCGGGTCAGCGGTTCAGCGGCGGCCAACAAGTTTCATGCTTTATGATACTTCCGCCAGAAGCCTCCCCGGGGTCCATGTCTACCGTACCTACCGAGCTATTTGGCGTGTATGCTGCCCTGCTAATGGACGGGCTGGCTGGGCGTCAACAATAATTACATACCAGCTAGCACCCATGATTATCAAGTGTGATTCACCACCCAGCCTCCCACAACACTGTAACAGTCGCCAGACACCACCAAGACATACAACACAGATGCACACAGCAGATGTACACGCACCGGAAAGCTGCCCCGACCAACCAACACCGCGGCAACCGTACCACAACAGCTGCAACCTGCATCACACCTGCCCAGCTACCCGCCCAGTGCACCTAGCCACCAATGCGTGCTGCGACACACACCCGAAAGAAGCATGTCAACACGGCGCTTGCCTGGACTAGATAGCGCCATGCTGCGCAAGAAAGCACCACCACTGCTTCGTACCCCCTGCCGACACCCTTCTGGCCTGCTGCTGCTGCTGCTGCTTCCAATAAACGCGCATCACTGTGTGCTGTGAGCCCGTGTCCCCGTGGTGCCTGCTGACACCGCCGGTTTGTCCTGTACAGCAAACAAGCAAGCCATGATGACAGCCTGATTCAACTACCGGTACCTGTCCACAACCGGCTTGCGAGCATGCGAAGCCAGGACTACGTAGTTCCCACGGTTATAGGTTCTTCGGTTCCCCTTCCAGCGGCATCAAAACATCTTAAGCCGAGCAGCAGCAATCAGCAACCCACATTCAACACGCCTGCGTCAACAACTACAGCACATCATGCTAACCTCCTCCTCTCCAGCAAGTAGCTTCGGCGACCACGCCTCCTGTGGCTCCTGCCTCATCACGCTCAGACCGCCCCCTGCTTTCCCTTCGGGCGCTTCACGACTCCCTCCTTTCCTTTACCTCCCTCCCCTCCCTTTTCCTTCTCGTCTCCCGACTTCCTGCCAAGGCATGACGACCTAGCCCTCATCATGTGCAACACGATCAGCAACTCAGCCCAGGCGTCATCATCAGAACGCATGCCACCACCTCCGCACCACCCTCCTTCAGCACCCCCGTTACCTCGGAACTCATCGCCACCGCCGCCACCGCCGTTACCGCCTAGCGCCGGCGGAAGTCAGAAGGCGCCCAGCGCTCGCGCGATGCGCCGTTGTACGGCATGCTGTGCGACGTCGCTTACGCTGTCGGCGGCGGCGGAGGCGGCGCTGACGGCGGCGTCCTCCACTCGTTGTACGACATAGTCCTTGGCGCGTACGGCAGCGTCGCCGACTCCCTCCGCCGCCACCACCGCGGGAAACGCCACCACGGCAGCCGCCTGCGCCACGGGACCTGCAGGGAGGCGAGCGGGCGAGGGATGGTTCCATGTGTTGCTTGGGGATTTAGGGTTTTAGGTAATAAGCATGCGCATGGAGAGCACGATGCATACCAAAACAGGTTTCAGGAACGCCTGCCGGTTGGGCAATACAACGCAGCGCAGCAGCGCAGTGCTTGCCTGCTTGTTGGCACTTACGTTTAGCCCGGCGCACCGCCTTATCCACTCGCCACCACGGCCAACGTTGCGGCTCCACCACCTCCGCCTCCGCCGCTACAGCTGGTGCCACCGCCGGCGCCGTCGGACCACTTGCCGCTCCTCCTCCTCGCTCCTCCTCTTGCGCCCGCCGGGCCCCCTTCCAAGGCGGCAGTAGCGGGGGCAGCCGCTGCCAAAAGCGGCGCCGCGGCGGCGCCGCAGGCGCCTCTGCCGCTGGCCGCTCCGCGCCCCTGGCCTCCGCCGCCGCTGCGGCGACGCCGGCGGAGACGCTGCCGGTCCTGTCCGCCACCTCCCCCGCTCGCGCGCTGCTGGCCGCTAGGCGGTGGCGGAGGTGGTCCAGTACGGCGGCGGCGGAGGTGAAGGGGCCCAGCTGCCGCCAGCCGGAGCGCTGCAGCAGCTCGGCGGTACCCAGCCACATGCCGCCCGCCACACCTGCGCGCCACATACACATACATGCATGCGGTAACATGGGCACAAAACACATGGGTGTACAGCACCACGCGCACCTGGACCTGGCCAACTCGATGATGCGGTGCATCTACCAGCGGATCTCACAATCTACCCTGCATGCTGCTATGCATAACCCATCCAATTCGGCCACCCTGAAAGCCACACCCAACCCAACCCAACCCCAGCACCCCCACCCGCCAGCGTCGCCAGCCACACCACCCGCGCCGCCGCCGCCGCCAGCCGCCACCCCAGCGGCGGCGTGAGGCGGTGGAAGGCGGCGGAGTGCAACGCGGAGTTGTAGTCGAGCAGCGCCTGGGAGAGGCCGGAGCTGGTGGCGGAGGGGGTGGAGTTGGCGGCCATGGCGAGCTGCGGGGTGGGGGGGGGAGAGGGGCGGGTGGTGGTGGGGGGGGGGGGAACATGAGGAAAGGTGAGATGCCCCAGGTGAGGTTGAGGTTGAGGTTGAAGGGGTTACACGAGCCGCATAGTCTCGTGGGTTGCATGCAGGTACCCAAACCACCCTGGCGGTAATGCCTCAACAGCGGCGGGGAGCAGCATGGCGTGCAATCCCACATACACCCAACCCTCAAAAACAATTCCTTCGATCCTTTCCATTCCATCCACCTGCTACATAGCCCTCGCGGACCCCTATGGTTCGGGATAATCTTTGACCCCCCACCTGCATGACGTGCCGCCACCTTGGCTTCCTCTCCGCCTCGTACCTCCGCAGCGCCTCCTTGTTGAGTCCGTGCCGCTGCACGCACCAGCCCAACACCGCCGCGTCCTCCAGGGCCTTGGGCGGACGGAGGGGGTGGGCAGGGAGGGGGGGGACATGGGGCAGGGAACGAGCGAGGGATGACACACTCCTGCAAGAGAGATGGGCGCAGCCATACCTCCACAGCTATATCACACCGAGGTCCATAGCCGCCCGCCCTCCCACCTGGTTTTCCTCCTGGCTGGAGGGCCTCATGGGGTGCGCCGCCTCACCCACGATCAGCACCCTGCCCCTGCCCAGCGCCGAGGGCAGGTCCTTGGCCCGTCGTACCCACACCCCCGCCTCCACGCAGCAGGAGGGGCGGCTGTTGCGCAGCATGGCGCGAACCTCGGGCGGGAAGCCGGAGAAGAGCAGCAACAGCTTCTGAGGGGGGGTGCAGGGCAGGTCAGGGCAGGGCAGCGCATGGGAGGGGAGGAAAGGTTGGACAGGTGATAAGGTGGCAGCGGCCAGGTGGTCGACTGAAAAGATATCTGTCGTGGTGGCGGTTCTTGAAAGAGCGACCCATGGGTCAGTGGGAAAAGGACACGAGGGCGATAGCGACTCAAACGATGTCTACTACATATAATATATGCGGAGCTATGTGTGTGTGGAGTCACTCAGATATGGAAACAGACGGATGTGGTCGTGATGTGTGGGCAGATGTGAATGCAACGGGCCATGCGGGTACATGCGGGTCGGGGGCGACGGGGGCGAGATGAATCACCAAATACACACGCGCACCTGCAGCACCTCTCCGCTCCCTCGCGCATTCTCCTCGCCCTCCTCCTCCTCGCTCTGCTCCCCACCCGCATCCGAGCCCTCCCCCTCCTCGTCGCTCCGCAGCTCGTCACTGTCCAGATAGCTGACATCAGCTGCCGGCGTGCCGACGACGGCGGCGACCGAGGCGTTGTCGAACGGCCCTTCGCCGGCAGGCGCGTCGGCGCCGCCAGTGGCGGCGGCGGCGGCGGACGACGCGTCGCCGCGACCCAATGAGCCGCCGCCGATGCCGCCTGGGAAGAGGCGGCGAGCGGTGTCTTCGCCGTACGGCACTCGACGCATGGATCCGGAACCCCTATTGGTGGAGGAAAGAAAACAGCGGGCAGGAGGAAGAGGAGGTGGTGATGGTGGTTGTGAGCCCGAACTTGAGGACATCCTAGGTGCCGCAAATCCAAACGTCCGCACCATCCTCACAGGCTCACGCGAGTAGGCCCCCCTCCCCTTCCCAGTTCTCTCCTCCCCCGCCCCATCATCCCTCGTCCCCACCTGATCTGTTGCTGCCCCAGCGATCCCTCCCGCAGACTCGCACTCCGCAGCGACCCCGCACCGCTCCTAGCCGGTGGCGGCAAGCCCCTGCCAGGCGGCGGCAGCGGCGGCGGCCCCCACATGCCCCCATGTGACCCATGGGTCATCCCCCCCGGCATCTGCTCCACCCTCCTGCTGCCCGTGTTGTACCACAGCCCCGCCTGCCGCAGGTCGGGCTCCGTGACGACCGCCTCCCACGCCACATCGCCCCCCGCTAGCGAGTGGGAGAGGAAGGTGCGGCCCGGGGAGAGCCAGATGGCGTTGAAGTCCAGCGGCAGGGAGGGCACGTCGTCGCCCGGCAGGCGGCCCAGCCACTTGACAACACCCTGAGAGGGAGGAGGGGAGTCAATAGGGGGAGAGTAAGGAAAAGGAAAAATAGGGTACCGGTATTGATTGGTAGTGGCGACATAGTGGTGGATGGGGATAAGAATGTGAATGATGCTGATACGGAGGAGGTGGAGGAGGAGGAGGAGAAGGATGGCTGGAGAGGTTGGTATGGGCTGAGTGAATGAAAGGGGGCAGTCATGCGACCACAGCTGTTGTAAGTCCTTCAAAAAAGCCCTTCGCGGCAAAAGGTGGTTGCTTGGCTCAACCTGCGCATTCATGCACTGTTGGCATGGCACGTACGACAGCTGCATGGGGTTCGCATGCGTGTGTGTTCATCATGACGTGTGCCGCATCGCCACTCGCACACTCACATCGTACTGCGGGTCGCCGTCCCGTACGACACGCTTCCGTACATCCGAAAAGGGCCCATCACACGCCACCAGGAAGCCCGCGCGAACCAGCGAGGGGAACGTGCCGCCGGC